GTCTTCTTCTTCTTCGATGGCTTCAATGGCTTCGATTGTCGCTGGAGGGAGAGGAGGGGAGTGTGTTACACCTGAACAAGCCATGCAACAGCAGAGACGCACAGGCAGCGGTTGTGCACAAGCAGCGGCGGGCGCTGGGTCAATGCATGCACGCCAACCAGACTATGGACCACAGACTCAGACAATCCTCTCAGCCATTCGCACTCCTCTTGTCTCGGGATGCCCTACAGGCCTCTCGGAAACTCACTCTCACCCCAGTTTACCAGCCATGGGTAAACCGACCCACTAATGTGTCCATGCTTTGGGGGAACCAGAAGAGCGGCACCCCAAAGCCTGGAGTTTGTCAGAGGATACAGAGAGAGACAGATGGAGAGACAGGTGGAGGAGACAGAGACAGACACTACTCAGACAGAAGAGGAGAAAGAGAGAGAAAGAAATAGAGAGAGAGAGAGAGAGAGAGAGAGAGAGAGAAAGAGAGAGAGAGAGAGAGAGAGAGAGAGAGAGAGAGAGAGAGAGAGAGGTGAGGTGATAGAGGGAGACAAAAACCAAGAGAGGAGCATGGCCAGCTCTCGGTGGTTTTGCTCACCACTCTGAAGAGTCTGTTTGCCTCCAGCAAGCACACCGCTAGGCAGCATCCCGGTCGGGGTCAGACCCTTGAGGGTCAACACATTCTCACTCTCCTCTCTGCAATGACAACATATAACCATAAGAAATAACAGCTTTGGTGTCTGTCATTTTTTTTAAAGGGTCACGAAACACTAAAACACATTTTTTGAGATTTTGACAGTCATATTTTTGTCCCACATTGCTTAAAAAAAACTATTATGACACATACATTTTACTAAAAAGTGAAACTTGGTTGTTTTTGCATTGTTTTGAGCCAATTCATTCTTTTGGTTTGAAAAGAAATTTTGAAGCAATGTCACAGCGATAAGGTCATTGTGAACATTCAAAGTTTTCAGCATATCTGTGCATTAATTCATGAGAAAGTCTTGGTTCGAACCAATCAGCGCACTCAAATGTGAATAAGATGCAACTTTAAAGCTTTAAAGACTCATTTTACCTGTTACAGTGTTCAGAGAGATGCCATGTTGTGTTGCCACCGTAATTACATGGGTCATCTGTGGTGCATTTATAAATGTGGCGAAACAAAAGTTTTGTTTCCATTTTCACACGATGAGAGCACAGCTCACATGTAGACCCACATGTGTGGATTACAGTGGTCTGCTAACACGCGACAAAAATATGTTTGTAAGAAACATTTGTCCCCGAGAACTTTTCAACTATAGAAATTGTAAAATCTGGATTTGACACTCGTCTCCTTTTAAAAAAGACACGGTTCCAGTTCGTGTTCATCAACCAGATAAGGTGACTGAGGGGAATCTGGTGGAGAGAAATACTCCACTTTCACACAGCTTTCAGATCCACTGTAAACGCTGCTCTTCGAATAGCTGTTCATCTCCCCTGTGTCTTTGTTTGGGTTGCTGTGTGCAAATAATTTTTTTTATGCACGTAATGAAACACCCCATTTCATAGGGTTAAAGTAGTGGATTTTTCTTTTATGCCAAAAATCATCAGACTATTAAAAATTAATTGAAGATTGTTCCATGAAGATTTTTTTTTTTTTTGGAAATTTCCTACTCTAAGTATATCAATCTCCATCTATTATTAGTAATATGGATTACTAAGCACTTATCTTGGCATCCTGACATGCAATTTTCCCAGTATTTACATTTTCTGAGGATTCTAACCATACATCAATGGAAAGCTTATTTATGCAGCTTTTGGATTATGTATAAATCTTAATGAAAAAAATTACACTACTGATTGGTTTTGAGGTTTAAAGTCACATATACAACAATGTTCTTCACATGAAGAAAAAAAAAGGATTGTCTAAAGAACTGAAAGATTAATTATAAAATCCAAAATGGTCGAAGAGTGAAAGCTGAGCCAAATAATGGCTTGATTACCTTGATGTGTTAGCATCAGCTAACTACTTTAGGTAATTAACAATAAACAATACTTCCACAGCCTATATCACTTTTCTTAATGTTGATTTCTATCCTTTATAATACACTGCAATATTATTAGTAAACATTAGTTAATGTACTGTGACAATGAAAAACAACTTTTGCATTATCAAAGGCTAAAATGCTGTAAAATATACTGTAATAATGCTGTAAAATTTCTTATAGTTCTCTTTAAAACTTTATTTTGATTGTTTTTATGGTCTACATAAGTATATCTCATAAAAAATGAATTACCTAATGTAATAATCCTTTATAGACAACTTGCAATTAATCTTTTTTTGCAGTCTAAAAAAAGATTGCTATATAACACTAAACGTGGATATTAGGCTCATAGTCAGAGGGGAACCACTGTAGGTGCCATATTTCACCTATATCTTTAAAGATGGTGCTATATAGCGCCTTAACCACCTCAAATAACTGCAGAAGAACCATTACTGTTAACAAGTTCTTTATAGGTGCCATCTAGCACTTAAATTGGTTCCCCTATGATTACAAGCCAAAGACACACTTTTAGTGCTATTTAGCACCATTTTAGTGTGTGTTACACTCACAGACGTCCACTGAGAGTCCACAACTCCATATTATACATAAAAATATTTTGTGTTTCATACAACCTTTAAAATACTTTCCATACCACATGCTACATTTAAATGCTTTCTTGTGTCCCAGTTTAATGCCTAAGAAACCAGTCCTCAATCTATCATCTATCTGACAAGCCCGAGTGCTTTGTGAAGCATGAGGCTCTTCTGACCGCAGTCTGAATGACTCAGCCAGAGGAAGCCCCATTTGTACCTGAGCACGGAGAACATCTTGGCCATTTTCCCAATAGCACGGATCTTGTTCCTAATCACCTCTTTCCGAGCAGCTGCTGCATTTGCTGTGGGCGGAAAAAAGAAAAATGAAGCAGTCTCATTCTGGATGACCAGAGGCTAAAAACCCACAGAAACTTTTATTCTTGTATGTACAGAGAGGTAGACACACAAGAAATTATGTTGGCGGCAGAGTAACTACAGGAACTTTAGAAATGGCGGTACTAACTAAACCACGCATTTCAGTAGTGTGACTAAAGCTACTTTTTGTACAGAAGCCCTATTTAAATTGACCATGGTTTTACTAAAATATCGAAACATGGTTACTGTTATAATTACAAATTCAACATGGTGTTGCTGTAGAAGTTGCTGCATAGTTTATCCATGGTTGTTGAATCAAAACTGTAGTTTAATAAGTGGTAAATCTGACAAATTTGACAAAAATATATTACTACTTCTACTGTAGTAAAACCATGGTAAATCCTCATGAGGCTGAAAAGGGTGTAAAGTGTTTAGTGAAATGAAATTCATTCACACAAAACCCTCATTGTTTCTGAATTCAGCTTGACTGTGGTTTAAATTGTTCTAACTAGCTTGCTTGTAACTTGAAATGCTTTAGTTTAAAGAGGCACTCCCAGTACTTGTTAGTGACAAGTCGCTAAGTCAAGTGTAAGGGACTTTTCTGTCAAGAAATCTTATTATATTTTGAGTAGTGTGACAGTAGCTCAGCTAACAAGCTATTTTCCTACATTGCCACACTGAAGACAATAGGGTGTAAAATGTTTTGTAACATGAAATTCATTCACACAAAACCTTTATCAAAGACATGCTGCTGTGATTGTGCTAAATAACACCCAAATTGTACAAAATAAATAAAAAAAAGTCCTCAGCTAATTAGTTAGCTGCTAGCTAATGTCTGATCAGCATGATGACTTAAAATACATGTTTAAAGTAGCACTCCTAATACTGGTTAGAGCTAGTAACTTTAGCGGCTAGCTAAAAGTCAAGTACAACAATCACAGGACCACAACAATGCAACTTAACAGGAAATATGCTGGCAGGTCTATGAATCATAATGTACCTGAGGTCAAAGAAAAGGCCCTCTCTGTCAAGAAATTGTAATCATTTTTCAGTAGTGTGCCAGTGGTTCAGTTTTTTTTGGAAAATCATGTAGCTAACAAGCTAAACAAGCTACTTTCCCTACATTGTCAATAATACGAGACTTGCACTGATTATGCTAAATAATAGCCTAATGCTATAAAACTAGCTTGCTTCTAATCAGCTAGCTTTAAATAAACATAAAAAGTCAAGAAATCAAGTTTAGCTTTGCCAGTACTGGTAAGTGCTATTTAGCAGCTAGCTAATTCAAATACAAAGAGCCAGCCTATTATAAACAAAGTACCACAATAATGCCACTTAACAGGAAATATATTGAAAGGACTATGAGTCATAATCCAGGATGTACCTGACGTCAAAGAAAAGGCCCTTTCTGTTGAGAAATAATAATCATGCTGGGTGGCTAAGCATAAATAATGTTATACATATAACATATATAAATAATGGTGAACGTCTCACCATCAAAGATTTCATCTCCATCATTCATCAGCTCGTCGTCAGAACAGATGCTCAACACATTCACTAGCATCTCCGTCACTGCAGGCAAAGGTAGATGATCAAAATGATATTTGGCTGAAAGTATAATTTTCTTAAAAATATTAAAAAAGACATATACAAATATTATTATATCAGTCTATGATGCATTCATTTAATCAAAAGTGAAAGTATTTTAAGAGGTTACAGAAGATTTTGTACTTTCTATCAAAAAACTATCCATAAAGTTACGTATCATGGTTTTTATAGTGGAATTATCTGATTTTACATACAAAAGAAAGGTTAGTCTAAATTATAACAATATTTAAAATACATACACATTCTTTTTCAATTAACAAATATATAATATAATACTATTTCTAATGCTTTTTAAATTTTTAAAGTTGCCAAAACAGACTTAAACATCTTTTTTTATTAGTAAAAAGTATTATGAAACCTTTTAGCTTAATTTAGTAAGTTATTTTTGTATTAACAGAGAAATTTTTGCAAAATTCTACTAATTCCAAACATTAAACACTTGCTTTTTATATGCTATATTTATTTTAATAAAATTCATAAACATTTTCACTTACTGTCTCAGCAGAACTTTAAACAACCCAGGCTCATTCTGAAAACATAGCCCTATATACATTTCTAGAGAGCACCAAATACATCCAAGGAGGTCCTTTTTTTTTTTTTTTTTTTTGCAGTTTTTTGCTAATTGTAAGTTTTCAGATTTTACCACATTCTCACCCTGTTATTTACTTTTTTTTCTTTCTGGCTTCTGTTTTTGTCTTTATTTCTGGAACCATTCTACTGCTACTGAAGCTACTGGATAAAAGCCATACAGAGGTAAGTGGTCAGCTGGTAAGCGCAAAAAGGAAAGGCATAATACCATCCTATAGCGTTCATTTTAAAGACGAAATGCAGCCTTTAACATTTCAATAAAACATTTTTTTTCAAGCATTGTGACATTTTATCAATATTCTCGTGTCAAGAGTTTAGTTTTTTTTCTGTACAATATTCACAATTACTGTATTCACCTTATTTTCTGCCGACAAGCGGGCGCTGCCATTTGAATCTGTTTGGCTTGAGACTTCCGGTCTCATTCACTTCCATTCATTTGGAAATCGCTGCTTGATGTTGCAATTTGATATTTTCTTATATTATTCTACTTGGTCTGTATAGTCATGCAAACATTTGTTTGTAGAGCAAGTAGTTTGACCGGTTTCTGCTGTTTATTATTCCTCGTCATTTCTCCCATAGGCGACTGAATCGGAAGTTCTAAGACAATCGCGAAAACAGGCGCACTTCCGCATTTTAGAAAAAGGTCAATATTGTTCGACAAAAAGACAACTGACCACCATTCAAAGTATATCATCATTGTTCATATTAATTTTAACATGAACTAATAAATTATTGAAATCTAAAGCCTCAAAATGACTATAATCTTAATTTTACCTAATATACCAATTAACAGCTACATTTTTATCAACAAGTTAACAAATTTACTTGTTAACACGTTTTCATGTTAGACTTGCAGTTTTTACCCTATTTATTTATTTGTTTATTTTTGGTGATACTATTTTATGGTGTCCTTGTTACCTATGTTACCTGTATTTACTACTTAAATTGCAATTAATTATGCATAATTACAAACAACTAACCCAAACTATATGGTAAGTATAGGCCTATATGTAATTAATTACTGTTAAGTCATTAAATTAGTAGTTTCACTGTTACAAGGACACTCTAAAGTCAGTCTATTTGTTTATTTTATGCTCTCACAGAAATTTGGCAAACTACTGATCTGAATAAATTCAGGGTCAGTTTGACCCGCAACACAATGTACCTTTCTCTCCCACAAATGGCAGCGACCAGGTGAAGACGTCCATGAAATTTGGCAGCCAGTAAGGATGGGGGGAGCAGTTAAACTGCCGGATATTCATTACATTGTTCTCATACTTCAGAACGGCAGCTGAGGAAGTAAAATAATAAGAAAAAAGTGAGCCTGCGGTATTTGAGCGCTTTTGAATCAATAATATGAGCAATAATCTCCAGAGAGCAAATCTTCCTGAGCAGCCGGGTTTGCTTCATAGCAGCCCAATTCAAAACTGTTTAAGGAATAATTCACTAATTCAGTGTATATCGACAAAACCCACATTTTCTGGAGAAAAATATATCAAGAAAATCCAACAAAAATACATACATTACAGTATCAATATGTATGCGTTTAAACATGATTTATTTAAAAACTAAAATCATCCACTAGATGGTGCTGCAGAGATGATGATTCTGTGTCTTCATCGCCTTAAGCTGGTAGTCTATGGCAAGCAGTTTTAACATTTATAAAAGAAAACACACATACTATTATCTATTTGTATGCTATTAGTACTTATTATAAGCTTCTAGTATATTTTCAATTAAGTATTTATAGTAGTTATTCCTTTACTACTGATTATTCTTGGATACTATTTTATTATTATTATTATTATTATTATTATCATTATTATTATTATTATTATTTATTAGACATATATTTATTAAAATCTAGTACTTAATAAACAGACACTAAAAAAGATTAATTAGTACTTCGTCCTTAGTTCTGCTATTTCTAATTTATTTGATACTTGTATTCATTCATTAGATAGCCTACTAGTACGTATAAAATTTATAAACAGGTATGACCGTCTAATAAATAAATAAATAAATAAATAATAAGTAGTACTCTAATAATGAATACAGTATCTAATGATTAAACAGTAGCACCTTACGAATAAGTTTTAGTATCTAAATATGTTGAATGGGTACAAGTAATGAACAATAGTCTCCATTTAAAATTAACTTGTATCTAATGAATAACTACTAATATTTCCTAAAAGGAAAAATGAACCATCTAAATATTAAGAGCTAGGAACTAATGAATAAGTACTAGTAATTAAAGTTTACATAAACTGAAAGGTTTTATTTCAGTATTTTGATGTACTTCCAACTGAAATGGAATATTGAGTTTGGGGCAACGTTTTTTGTATTATATTTTGCATCTTCAAAGCAATGACATAAATAGACATCATGCAACATGATTTACACAAATGAGGCAGCATAAATGATGTGATTCACACGAATGAAGCGATGCTAGTTGAGCATTTTGCGCATTTGACACGATTAACTTGCGTATAGCGCATTTCAATCAACAAAATCTGCACTTCAGCAGACATTAGCACTGTGATAACCAATCATGAGCTTGTACTTGTAAGGGAGTGATTATGACGTCGTGCCTGTTGTTGGTCTCCCGAGGGGGAATCCTCTTGCCCACACCGCACAACAGTTCATCAAATTGGGCTTGGTTTAGTCTGAAGCACCGCTGAAAACTTCTACCATCCGAGTATAGTTTCTGGAAGAGTTATTGAACTCGCAGAGCTGGGTGCAACTCTGAAAGGATCTAGTGCACTTAGACACGACTCCAAACAAATCTACGCTGTTTTTCAGCCTTCCTAAAGCACATAAAGCACAACTATTATCTCAATAAAATCCATGTTAGCCATTTAGCAACTAAGCTAGAGTCACCGGGCAGACATAAACCCTGTCCATGATGTGAATCCTCATGAATGAAATGAATTTGACATGCGAATGAAGCGAGTAAACTCGAAATGTTCACACACTAATTTACGAGTGAATAGGGCAATTTATTTGTGCTTGCCGTGTCTGGTCTGAACACAGCATAATGGTAAGAGGGGCGTGGTTAAGAATATTGTGGCTGTCAAACTGATGTCAACAGAGAACTATCACACCAAACGGTCAGACTTTTCAACTTGCACTAATTAAATGTTTACCTAAAGAGTAACAATGTGCGCTAGCCAAAAAAAAAAAAACGTTGTTTATTTTGATTTCACATTGACTTTGAAGGAAAATATTATTTTGGCTTAAAAGAGTAGCATAAATTTAGATGCTAGTCAGAGGCGGATTTAGTAATTTTGGGGCCAAAGTCCTAAAATGCCCTCTTTATACTTTTATTTAATTTTTATTTATATTGCTGTTTTTTTAATATCACACAATCATCTTTTCGACATTTTAAATGAATGCAATCTTTACATTTTAAGAGATTTGTTTTCTTATAATGAATTGACAACTAAAAATAATAAATATATATATTTTTTTAGAAATTTGACTGCTGGACTGCTCCATGATGGATATTTTATTTGGTAATATTATTATTATTACATAACATTACATTATTATATAAATTTTATATTCGATTGTATACTAAATAATATTTAATTACGTTACAATTGTATTTGTTTAACTCACACCATAAAAATATGGTAGAGAACAATGTTGTATATAGTTTATAGGTATAATTTATACTTCTAGACATTTATTGCAGGCCACCAGATTTCTTGGGGCCCTAAGCAGCCACTTACCTCACTTATTGGTTAAATCCGCCCCTGATGCTAGCATTGTCTGCGTATAAATGTTAAAACAGCTTGCCATAGAGGGTCCTGCCCACGCTCGCATCCACCTCTCTGTTCCCATCACAACGCATTCACAGTAAGTTAAAGGAAGAATCACCTTTGTTATTGTAAACATCAAGGTAGTTTGGTGCAGAGAAGATGGTAATTAGGGAAGGGAAGCCAGTGGTCTGACTCTTCCTGTACATCCGGTACCTGTAGGAAGAGAAGATAAAAACACTTTCAGAGCAAAACACAATTTCGCTTTCGTACTTTCAGAGTGAAAATATTCCAAAATTGTGTCTATATGACAAAACATATCCTTAAAAATAAAAATGAAGAGTATTTATTGCTACAAAGACAGATTGCAAAAACGTACCCTGCATCTTGTGCTTCGTGCGCTCGAATGATTGATAACAAGTTATTATTCTGTAGGAAGTCACAGACAGCCGGATAACTGCAAAACAGAGGTGGAAAAAAGGAAAAGAGCATGAGAAAGAAAATATGAGCCAATATTCGGAAACTGTGGGTGGACGCCTCTCATTAATGTTGTATTGTTTTTCCCCCTTGTGCTTTCCAATGTCAGCCAAGCAAAATATTCAAATGTAAATGAAGCATTAGTGCTGTTCAACATGTGTCCAGTAGTTATCACATGTTATCACTACAGCAAAAAACAAAGCAAAACGTCTTTTAGACAGATTTTTTTCTAAGCATTAAAATAATAAAAGCGTATCAGAGCTTTATAACAAAATCTATGTTTACATGATAGAATAAATATGCAGTTTGATCAATACATACATTTATCTTTTGCCGAATTTTTTTTCCACAAATAATACTTTATACATAAAGCAGACACTTTACTTGCATTTAATATGCTTTCTATTTATATAAAATCTCTTCTGTAAATTTAAATTGATGCAGACACCAGAAAGCCATGTACAATAACATTCACACACATCTGCACTCACAGCCTTAGCCCATCTTGACATGAATTGTGTTTCAGGGAATGAATAATTAAAAGTGTCTTCATGCCTTATCACATAATGCTGTATGAACATTCTCAAGCCAAGAACCTAATAGTTTTCTAGTACACATCTCACTTGAATATAAAGAAGACTGACCACCATTCACAGCTACTGAAAATGATTCATTGGATTTAGGAAATAGTTTAGACTAAGTGGTTGCAAACAACTTTGTAGGGCTTGATTTAAACAAACAAATTAAATTTAGTAAATGTCAACTTAAAATGTTTAAATATAGCCCATAAAAATTGTTCGCAACTACTTACCATACAAATATTAGTAAATCCATTGAATATTTTTTTCAGTGTTTATACTTACTTTCTTCCAGGGCCATTTATATCGAAGTTGATATTTAGCCACACCATGTTGGTGTTTCATAACATCTAATTTTTAACCCAATGCTCAACCCCCAACCTGGAGGACATACACACCTTTCGTACAACCTTTACATACAACCTTCTCCAAATCACCAATAGTGCATGTCTTTGGACTTGTGGGGGAACCTGGAGCACCTGGAGAAAACCCACACGAACACGGGGAGACCATGCAAACTCCACACAGAAATGCCAACTGGCCCAGCCGGGGCTTGAACCAGCAATCTTCTTGCTGTGAGGCGACAGCGCTATCCACTGCAGTTTACTTTAAATAGTAAATTTCCTCAGTGCAAAATTTTTATTTTATTCTAAGTAGCACAGCTTGTTTGATTATTTATCTAAATTCAGTCAAATTTCGCTAAACTTTTTCAATAATTGGCAGAAAGACATCGGCCGACACTTTAGTGAAAACCTTGGAAGCATGCCATAATTAACCCTGAGTAAATACCTTAAAACTTTGTGTTACATTTTACCCTGTGCTACTTTGTGCCCCGTGCTCCCCTTCACATGTCCACAGAACATTTTATTTTGCAAATAAACTGGGAGTAAAATTTTTGTTACAACTCTCTGTAATTTTTGTTTTATAAGTTTTTTAAACAGTGCATGTTTGTAATAGAGACAGTAAAATCGCTATATAATTCTTAACTGCTATAATCACCATGGTCGCATAGAGTAGTGTCAGTAAATGCGCATATATGTGTGAGACTCATCATTTCAGAAAGGCTTGAATAAACTCCACCACAAATATATAAAAGAAACCTCATTAGTAATTTTGACTAATAAGCTGTATTTCAGCTTCATTCCCATCTGTCTCTATCACTGACTGCTGTTTATCTGACGTAACGCATGATGAGAAGCAGACACGCACATGGAAAGGTGGGTGGGGAGGAAACAGCTTATTTGTATTTAAAGCCACAGGCTACAAAAACAGCTACAATGTATTCAGACACCAAAAATGGGCAGATTCTGGAGGCTATAACAAATAATCTGATGGGCATTTTGAGCTGAAACTTTACAGACACATTCTGGACACCCCAAAGTCTTATCTTATATCTTGTAAAAATGGGTAAAATAAGTGCCCTTTAATAATTATTAAAACAATATAATTGTTTTAGCTTCTTAACATTATAGATACACCTCATAAAAAATACTATAAAATAAATTGCAAATGAAATCATTTGTTATTTTGACCAATTGCTATTTTCTGAAGAAAAAAAAAACATGAATAAAAAAAGCTCTACATTATATTCAAATTATATTTGAAATTTTATCAACTCAATTTTCAGTGAGGCAGAAGCGTCCACACTCTCCACACTGCTCTATTCAATCCATGAAAATGAATGGAGAATGACTCTGTCAATCTTCACTGTTAAAGACTCTAACCATTCACTATTAACATACGCTTGCCTACAACTCAGAGAGTGTGTAAAAGAGTGTGTTTGTCTAATGAGGATCCACTGCTGCTTTACACCAGTCTCCTCCTCTCTCTTCTTCCTCTGCATCTCTCCCTCTGTCTCTCTCTCTATCACTCGCTCCAGTTTGCAAAGAGAAAACGAGTCGTCATGGCAACACCACACTGCAGAGCCCTTGGGGATTGTGGGATAGATCGCAGAGCTGCTGTCCGCAGTGTAAAGCCCTTCAGTCCATCTCAGTGTTTCTGCTGACTACAGGATGATCTGCAGGCTGAAAGGGCATCCCCTCCTTCCCCTCGTCTGACAGCTTCAACCCAGTCTCAAACGACCAGACGCTCCACTATCAGCAGAAGGTCTGGGCTGCTTTCACATTATGTCAACTGGATGACTTTTCGGAAAGTGTATGATTTGGGAGACACTGTAAAATTTGCTGTGAGAATGAAAGAATGTTACATTATACAAACTCCCAAAATCTGTTCCATTCAATGATAAAATGAATGTTTATAATGTTCATGATAAAGCCGAAAGATTCATTCTGTGCTCCAATGGTAATGTGCCATGCAAACACAGGGATTCACTGAAACAATAGTTTTGAATAGTCAGATCTACATACACTTAACGTTTTTGTAAAATAAACAGTGCTTAACTGTAAAATTAACTGTATTTTACCGTAGGGCAGGTGTGCAGTATGTTAATTTAGTTTATTTTAAGTTGCATATCAATATTACTGTATATTTTGCAGTAAAGATATACATAAAATCCTGTTAATGCATATACAGCAATATTAATGGTGATGTAATTGTAAATGCAGTATTTTTCCTGTAATTGATTTATAGTAAGTAACTGCAGCCAGTAAGTTACTGCAAATTCTACAGGAAATTGTTAACAGTGTAAGGTATAGTCTCAAGTATATGTTATAAAGAAACTATCTTAATTATCAGTCTAATTTAAGGACCTCATCTATTAGCATAATGGTGGTGAATTGCAGAGATTGTACTGTGCCACTGAACAACAATGCATAAACAGATTCTATAAGCTGTGCTAATTTGACCTAAAACAACAAACACTATGTGTTAAAATTGCTTTTATCTGTTTTATTTACATGCACTAAAATATATTGCCTATATATTTACTGAGAAATGGATACAAATATTCATTTTCAAAAAGGTGTACTCAATTATGCTAGGCACTGTACATGGCAACAATGTTTTTGTGATTTGAAGCACATAAATCTGAAAACATGTTTCCAAGTGGATGTTTTTGAAAACACAGCTATTGTCATTTCCAAATGTTTCAAAAATAAGAGTCTTTGAAACAATGAGGGTGTCACATAATAATTGTTTAGGGAGATGTTGATTAAAGGGAAGCACAAAAAAACCCCACAACAATTTTAACATCTACCATGTGCCGCTGACTGCACTTGATCACTACCCTACTATACTAATAAAGTGACAGTGTCAAAATACTGCCCTGACATGCATAATACAGCAGTTTTGGTAATTTTCACAAATATATAAACGTCCAAAAAACAGGATTATCTTAATCCCGTCAGAAGGGTGGATTCAGTTGTGATTGTTATGAACCAAATAAACCAAATAAAATAAAAAAGTTTTATTTTTTAAGTGAATGATCACAAACCTAATGGTTACTGATGATATATAAACTCCTTCATATTTGAAGCCTATATGAAGCATGTCACATCTAATGAGATATGGTAAAAAACAACAAAAAACAATATCAAAGCAGTACTGTATTAGAACAATTGATTGCAGTACAATGATAGCAGTGTCTTTTTCTTACCATTAAAACAAATAATGGCTGTTTGTGGCCATTGGTATTTTGCCTACCTGTTGTTCTTTGCTAAGATGGTAGGCTACACTGTTGGTTTCATTTAAAGCTCTGATAAACAGGATTTGGTAGTCCTGAAATTTAGTATTTGGATCACAGTGATACAACCCAATTTTCCTTTAAAAACTGTCATAAAAGTAGGATAGATCAGTTGGATAGCAAAACATGGTATTTCCAAATCTGGACCAATTTGATCCAGATTAAATTAATTTAAAAACTGGGCCCTAAAGATTGAACAAGCAGTTTTGAAAATTTCAATTCTGATCTGAGAAATGTACCAAAGCTACTGAGAAAAACTATGGACCCTATCATACAGCTAGTGCAATGTGGCGCACGGTGCAACGCAATTGTTGTTTGCTAGTTTCAGCTCAGCGCAAGAGTCATTTTAGTGATTTGCACCATGCTGTTTACATAGCAAATTAATTTGCACTAAAATGTGCACGCACAGGCGTTCTGGTCTAAAAAAAAGAGGTGTGTTAAGGCGCATTGCTGGCACACAATAGACTGAAAGGAGGTCTAAAGTCTAGCGAAGAGTGTGTTAGTTGACCCACAGGATGTACAGCAATACACAAATATCTTCACAAATGAAAAAGAATTAAATGATTAAAATATTACAAAAATTATTATTTTCTACATAAATATGAAAAACAAACTTTCATGCCTTCATGCCAGTATTATTTGTATGCATATTTATATTTGTTTCATTCATTCATTTACTTGTCAGCTTAGTCCCTTTATTAATCCGGGGTCGCCACAGCGGAATGAACCGCCAACTTATCCAGCAAGTTTTTACGCAGCAGATGCCCTTCCTGCCACAACCCATCTCTGGGAAACATCCACACACACATTCACACACACACTCTGGACAATTTAGCCAACCCAATTCACCTGTTACACATGTCTTTGGACTGTGGGGAAAACCGGAGCACCCGGAGAAAACCCACGCAGAGGCAGGGAGAACATACAAACTCCACACAGAAACGCCAACTGAGCCGAAGTTTGAACCAGTGACCCAGCGACCTTCTTGCTGTGAGGCGACAGCACTTCCTACTGCACCAATGCCTCGCCAACAGAATCGCACAACGTGGGGCTCGAACCCACAAAGCAGAGATTAAGAGTCTCATGCTATACCGACTGAGCTAGCCGGGGTTATTTGTTTTATAAAAAAAAAATTATAAAAAATAAAAAAAATCTTTGCGCTTAACAAACTAAATTAATAATATAGGTTAATGGATGTCTGTGCATACAATGCGTTTAAAAAAATTCACATTTTATCAATAAATGTGTTCCTTTGGATTTAACCTATGATAGGATTCAATCTTACTTCCCAACTATTTATGTGTCAATTTACATTAATACTGAGTTTTGTTACCATGAAAATGCAACACCTAAAATATTAAAAAAGAACTGTAAAAATTGTAAATATTTTTTTAAAAAGAAGAATCACAAGCTTTACATTATTGTACTACAAACGCTGCTAACTGAGCTTAATTTAGCAATTAAAATGAGTTCATCATGTGCACTTAGATTACTGTGTGTAAAAACACAAAAATCCAATAAAAACTAAAACTGAACATTTAAAAAAAATACACTTTGCTCATAAATAACAGGTAATTTATTTTTTCATCAATCACTTCATTCTAAATGCATTGCAAAAAAATCTGCATGTGCATAAAGGCGATCACATAAACAAAACAGAGTGAATGGAGTGAAAGAGGACTGATTAAACACCACCATGGTGATTCAGGGAGGTGGGCAGCTCGAGGAACACTGACAACACAGATTAAAACAAATGGCTTCTGTGAGCCTTGCATAACAGAGATGTGTGTGGGTATCTCTAAGTAGTGTATGTAGCACTCTGTGTATGTGTGATAAACTCGGTCTCGTGTGTTCTGTAACATGGCTGCCTCTATTGAGCATATAAAACACAGACACACTAATGACTCCAGATCACTGGCACAAATCTGCGGTACACACCGTATATAAACAAAGAATTAGGAGATGATACCAAATGCTAATGCTAACACACAAACATTCAAATGCCCTACAACAATGAACAAGCCATTCAGGTCTAGCTCTATGAGAAGCATACAGTCGTACGCATCAAATTTTCAGCAGTGTGTGAAATATTTAGAGGCTGTTGCTTTATGCAGTCGAAGCAGAGGGTAAAAAACAACAGCAGCCCTGAACACCTGGAGAGACCCGACAACCCCCCACTGACTCGCCTGTCTTCACACACACTCACGAACACACACACTTAGTCAAATATATGCACAGTATGTCACACAAGCATATAAATATATGCCAACATGCGCACATCAGTACACATACATCACAGGCACCACATATACATACATAAATTTAGTCTTGTGTGTTCTGTTACTGGGCCATCTTTTACCATATAACAGACAGATAGATAGATGGATGGATGGATGGATGGATGGATGGATGGATGGATGGATGGATGGATGGATGGATGGATGGATGGATGGATGGATGGATGGATAGATAGATAGATAGATAGATAGATAGATAGATAGATAGATAGATAGATAGATAGATAGATAGATAGATAGATAGATAGATAGATAGATAGATAGATAGATAGATAGATAGATAGATAGATAGATAGATAGGTATGGATGGATGGATGGATGGATGGATGGATGGATGGATGGATGGATGGATGGATGGATGGATGGATGGATAGATAGATAGATAGATAGATAGATAGATAGATAGATAGATAGATAGATAGATAGATAGATAGATAGATAGATAGATAGATAGATAGATAGATAGATAGATAGAATCCTGATAAAGATGTTGTTTGCACAAAAAATTATTTAGCTGTCATATTTTAATTGGGCAAGTTGTCATACATTTATTTACATAAATTTACATATATTTACATTAATATATTCTCTTTTTTGTTGCATTTTTAATGCATTAATGCACAAATTGTTTTTTATGTATGTTATCTTTTATGTTTTTTTGTGGTTTCATGACTTGTTTAATTTTTTTTTTTTTTTTGCTAGTTGCACTGAAAAGCTCATAAAAGATAGAATATAAGACTAATGTATGGCAATTTTCATATAGCAGTGGTTCTCAATTATAGGGCCAATCACATTTTTTATAATACAAACCTAACATAAAATATCTTAAATCACCCCACCCCGTTTTCCTTATTACAGTTTTTCTCAATTGGCTCAATTCTCGATTGAATTATTATTATTATTTTATAAGTTTAGATATCTGAACAATTAGCTTACTGTTCACTTCAGAGTGCCATTTCTTATTGATTTAAGCAAATTGCAAATGGCACATGTGTGCAAATAGTAAGTACAATTGTCTGTAGTTTGAACAAAAATAATTGCATACTGTATGTCTTGTTGATCAAAACTGATGAGTTGATTCTCATTTAAACTTAAACCCTTTACTATTTCTCAATCATATTTCATCGTAAGCCATCACACTTAAAACTGTTCATTCAATTATTAAACATTTGTATATGCACATGTTTTTACAATAAATATCTGAGATTGACATTGTTTATCATGTCTGCTATGTAGTTTAATGACTTCAGTTGCAATACAATTTTCATTATCTATTTATCATATATGGTATCAAATATATATTCAGTTGCAATCAGAATTATTAACCCCCCTTTGATTTATTATTATTATTATTATTATTATTATTACTATTATTATAATTATTGTTATTATTATTATTATTATTATTATTATTATTATTATTATTATTATTATTATTATTATTATTATTATTATTTTATTTATTTTTTATTTTTTCATTTTTAAATATTTCCCAAATTATAATATATAAGTCTAATATATATAGTATATATATCTTTTTTTTCCTTTTTTTTTTTGCCCACAGTGCAATCACTACATTCACAACCCTGAGCTGCAGTAACATGCTTGTGGAAGAGCAATTCAAAGAAGTGGTTACACATCTCTGGTTACACAAAAGTGTAATCAAGAGCAACTGAATGTCTACTAAGATTTTGGATGATAATTTGTTGTATTATTGTGTATTTGTGGTAACATTAGAAATATGAAATATACAATAGAGTGATTGAACAAACAAGATTGCACTGCATGTAATACATTTGTGCACAATTAAATGTATTGTATAAATACAAATGTTGATTTATTTATTTTTTATTGTAAATTATTAATTTTTTTTAATGTACTATTGACTCTTCTTTGTAAACCTTTGTAATTTTGTAATTTGTAATCCTTAATTTCCATGTATGACTGGTGAAAAAACAACTGGAAAAATTACTGACACAATAACTAGGTTTTGAAGCATGAATGAAATGTTTTGAGGAGTAACTGCATTTTGCAAACATGCAATAAAGTTCTGAAAATCCAGCAAAGGTTTTTTTTAGATTTGCACTTACTGTTTAGGGAATGTTAGGTCTGTTTTGAAAAAATGTGTCAAAGCAATTGAGAAATTGAGCAATTGAGACTGTAATTGGTTATTTTGTTATTATTTTCTTAAACAAATTTATCTCTAGAAACATTTTATTATAAAGTCAATGTGAGCCAAAAGTTGCTGAGACATTTATTTCAGTTTGTTACTTCCAACTGAAACAGAATATTGAGTATGGACAGGGCTATCTTTTTGCACATCATTCACTTGTAGCAAACTAACGGTAAGGGAGTGTGGTTAAAAATATTGTGGTCAAACTGAACCACCCCTCCAAACGCTTAAGCAAATGGTTAAGGCTTTAAATGAAGGTTTAAAAACATTTTTTAAAATTAAATGTTAATTGTTTAATTGTTGGCATAAAGAATAACAATTTACAAAAGTATATAAAAACGTTAATGTACATTTTTCGCATTTAATGAACCAATAACTATGAACTCCTTAAACTACTAATTTGCTGCATATTAATAGTAGTATTAAGGTAGTAGTTGGGTTTAGTTATTAGGAGGGATATAGCATCAAAGATCATGCAGAATATGTACTTTTTAAGTACCAATAAACAGTCAATATCTTAATAATAGGCAGGCAATAAGCCACTAGTTAATATTAAGAATTATTACTTGAACTACAGTGCTAGCATACTACATCTTTTTAGTCACGCCAAGCTTTAAAGTATTTTATCATGCTAGAAATTATAAGAAATTTTCATGGAAAATAGGGGCCTGCTGCTGTATCCACTGCCTTCCACTTCTACATAGCCTGTCAACATATCTCCTCCAACACACAGTCTTAAACACCCAAAGGTCACCCACCTGTAGAAGTATGAGCAGCCTCTGACTGTGTTGTGGCTAAAGTACTCTTGGCTCTTTTCATTGCCGAAGTCCTCCAGAGGATCAGACCACAGCAAATCACACATAGGCCCGAATGCTGGGGGCTCCTTGAACCGGTCCAACTAGGCCACAGAAGAATAAATATAAAAGCCAATAAAGAAATACACAATTGTACAGTGCTTTCTTGTGGCCATGCATCAAATCCCTCTCCTCCCACACACCGCACTGCTATTCACGCATGGCTTGGCAGTACCTTCTTTATGTCGTCTAAGGTCTGTATTTCTGGGGACAGGCCACCGTGGACACACAGAAACTGTTGGTTCATGAGAGCGGCCAAGGGCAGACAGTCAAAAGCGTCCATACAGGAATCGTAAACCTGCTCTGAATACTTGATTTTACCTGGAACAGAGAGAGAGAGAGATAGACAGTGAGCGAGTACAAAAAAAAACATTTATGTCTTGTAAAATATATATATTTTTTTTTACTTTTTAAATACATTTTAGATACAAAATGACAATGTAGAACAAGGATGCATTTAGGTTGTAAATAATAAACTATTTACTAAGAGTTTTAGCCTAATAAAGTATTAATTTTCTTATTATTAGTTAGTAAGGTTGTTTAGGTAGGATTGAGGATGTAGAATAAGATAGTACTTTATAAATACTAATAAACAGCTACTATCTTAATAATTAGGAGGTAATAAGCCAGTAGTTAATAGTGGGAATTTGTAAAGAACTTATTTGTGATCTCTTTACAAAGCATTACTGCTTATAAATCTGCTGAAAGAATAAGATTTTTATTTGCTTTATGATTATTCTTATAAGTGAAGAAAGATAAACCGAGTTTATTGTTTATTAACTAAGTATGCCTTTCATGAGTTTATCTTCCACAAAAGTGTGAATATTGAACCTTCTGAGCCTTCTGCAACTGAACAGTGTCACCCAAACACTATTTTTAACTGTCCAAAAAAACAGGCTGTTTTTACTCTCTGATAGTCATGATAACTATAATAAAATCATTTTTCTATGTTAAATATGCATTACAAAAAAGTCAGAAAAAAGTGTTTAAAAATTCGGACCACAAGTCCATATATGGACATCATTTTTTTTTTTTAAAGGTACATCATATCAAAAGATGATACTTAGGTTTTTATTCTAATTAAGTCCCAATCAGATCAGCCCAAATAGCAAAGAGAAATAAAAAAAATCATATAAAAAATACCTTGGGCCTTAAGAGGTTAAGAGCAGTTGCTCATATCTGTCAATCCCTGTTCAGTTCCACCAATAGGAGAGTTTGGGGTGTGACTACTGTAAAGCAGGTTGAGCCAAAGGCTGTTTAACTGGTCTGGGATCATGACTAATGCATAACATAAAAGAAAATCTGATCTGCTTCTAGAAGTGCAAGACTACATTCAACGACTTTCTGAAACACACAGGGGAAAGTAACAGGGTAAAACAAGGATAAACACTGATGGTTTCAGTCCAGAGGATGAACTTGTGGAGTTTCTTCAATAAGTGAAATAAGTGTTGGTGTTTTTTTAGATCTTTACTGTCAAGTTATGTTTATGTACATAAACTTGCTCATGAAAGTTTTTTACTCTTGCTGTTGTCAGTTATTATGATATTGTTACTATATGTTTTTTTTGCCACTGCAGTGCATGACACATCTGACTCTACTGGATATTCGTTTGGACTTATTGAGCTCAACAGAATGTGGCAGTGAGAGGCACCATTTTAAATGTGTTTTCCATTGGCAGTAAACATTTTGCATGTTGTTTATTCACCCCGGGCACCTTTAGTTTTTTGTAGGAGTGCTCTGAGCACCTTTAGTTGCAAAAAGTAAACTCTGAAAAGTGCCCAATGTCTTTTGCATTTTTTTTATTGTTCAATGGAATAAACGAAGAGAAGGGCAGCAAACTAAATTTTAAAGAGCTCATACTAGACTGACCAACAGCAAATTTTGGTTATCTAGAAACATAAAAAATTCAAAATTAAAATTTTTACAAATAAAAAATCAACTCAAAAAGACGTACATATGTTTTTGTTTTGGATTCTGGTTGTCTACACACCACATGATATCTTATTTTAAATTATTTATAATATATTTACTGTGTTTATTTTAAAAATGCTGACTTGTTGCATGAAGCCACATTTAGGATTTTAGAATGTCCCGAAAACAAGGTTTGTTAAGAAATCACATGGCTCACCTCATTCCATGCATACTAATTGATCCAAATATTCATAATGATGATATTTATAACACACCATCACTTCACTGTTAGTGAAACCACAGATTTGTCACTTTCCTTGTTGCAAATGAATGAGAGAACTGGAAACCTACATCCCTAATCCTACCCAATAAACCTAAACCCAACCTAACCCCAACACTTTTTGCCTGAAAAGTCACATGAGACAGTTATCAACGCTTTTATAACCTCACACGTAAATTACTGTAAGTCTCTACTGTATGGCATCTCTAAATCCCAGGTAGCTTGACTTCAAATGGTCTAGAATTCTGCAGTCAAATTCCTGAAAAATGGTCACAAATCCAGTATGACTCCCATGTCACTCCCATCCTACACTCCCCTCCACTGGCTTCCTGTCCATTTCAGGATAGAGTTTAACATTTTTCTGTTTGTGTTCAAATGCCTACACAATTTGGTGCCTAGATATCTATCAGATTTCCTGCATCCCAATAACCCTTCGAGAAGTCTCAGAACTTGTAATCTTAATTTAGTGAAAAATTTGAGGCTGAAACGCAAGAGGAGCTTTTTTGATGGTGGATCCTCGTTTATGGAATGGTTTGCATGTACAACTCACAATAGCCACCTCTTCACCTGTTTTTTTCTATTTCTTCTTGAAACTCACTTGTTTTCTTTAGCTTTTAAGAAGTATTAATCTGCTGTTAATGTTTCTAAACTCATTGCATTGGCTTCATAAAGCTATATATATATATATATATATATATATATATATATATATATATATATATATATATATATATATATATATATATATATATTGTTTTTTTTTTTTATTGTTATTGTTAGCATTTTATGGCCAGTACTTTGTTCGGCCCTAGCTGTTTTGAAAGTGTAATATTAATTTAGTACACTAAACTAAACTAAACTAAACTAAACTAAACTAAACTAAACTAAACTACCTTACTAAGTATTAGTAAGAAAATAATAATTTATTGAGCTAAAGGTTTTACACTGTAAAAAAATATATGCTCAATTAGTCATGAAAGCAAATGTTTTTAGTTCATTGTAATGTATTAAACTAAGTTAATCATATTCTAACTTAATTTTATAAGCTATGCAAGCTGTTTTAAGTCATAATATAAGTGCAAAAAACTCATAATGTTGATAATTTAGCTTAAAAATGTAAGGCAACCAGAATTTTATTACAGTGTAGTTACTAAAAATCTAAAAATGCATATCTACAAAAAAGATATGCTGCAAATAATGATTGTGGTGTAATTATATATGTTGCATAAAACCAGCTGCAGCATGGTTAATGCTTTGTTACCTTGTAGAATAAAAAAATAAATAAACATTTGTGTATTTTGTGTTGGTGCAATTTTATCAGTAAACAAAATGTCATGTGTGCCTTAATGATCGCGTTTATGACAACATTAGATTTTTATTTTTATTTTTTTGCCTTGAGTAGAAGTTGAGCTTCCAACATTCACATATAGAACATTAAAAGTGCAGTAGGTGATTGTCTTCAAGAACAATTTTTGTTGTTCTTGTTGAAGCCTCTTCATTATGATCCAGTTGTACTGGTTCAAGTAAATTTTCCAAATGAATTTGTATGTATTTTAATATTCTGGGTAAGGCATAAGATTAAAAAAAATAGTTTATTAAAAATCGTCAGGCAGATAATTCCCATAATTCTGATAAGTAGCCCAAAACTGTCTGTCAGCAAATGTAGATTTGTACAACTGCGCATCTGTTCACGCAGATCGCACTTCAACACATTAACGACAAGTTTTGCTTGCTAACTACACAACTGAAAACGTGCTAGATATAATACAGTTTTTCATTCAGTATTGCGGTGTTATAAAGTACTATAAAGTTTTCTAATTGGCGAATGACATGATCTGGAGGGTCTCTGTTATCTTTAATGTGCGCGTTTATGATTTCAGGAAGGGGAGGGATTGTATTTGAAAGATATTATGCTAACCAGCATTCAGGCAGATCACCTACTGCACCTTTACCTATAAATACCAAATTAGTCTTTGCCAACATCTAAATCGTACTGTACCTTAAAGACAAGATTCTCAATGATGATTACCTATTCGAATACAATAAAGATTCTGACATTATAAACATGTCTGGGCCTGTGTAGTTGGCATGCAAATGTATTAGCACAGTACATCAAATATTTTGTTCATTTCAAAAGAACAACGACAACAACAAAACTTGTTTTCCTCTGTTTACCCCCTATGGGTAAAGCAAGACAAGTCATTTTGATCATTTCTTACAGTTCTTCAACAAGAAAAAAACCCTAATATTTGTAGCAAACAACAGCTATTTTGTAATAACAGCACTTATTATGTTTTTCTCCGGCCTCATTAGATTCCAGCTGGGAGCAAACTTTAGCGCTCAGCCCCATGTGTCTGGGTGCGTCACAAACACTCACACAAGACAAACAGAGTCTCCAGACGGAGGAGGTTTGTCGACGCGTGTACTATTCTCATTATGTCTCAGTACGCCGCCTCTCTGAAGCATTGGTCACCATGGCCACAGGTCAGTGGAGTAGAGTTTGGTCTGCTGTCTCTGAGCTCTGCCGCTCAGCCTCATGGGAAGGGTCCGCACTGAATCTAGCATTACCTCATACACCAAGTTTACCTCCTCCAGACTGTACTACTGCTCTTAGTTATAAACCTCACTCTGTTCATTAAAAGATTCATCCTCTTAGGAACAACAGACACTGCTGAAGTTACACTCTAAATAATACTGCTCAATTAAAATAGTTGGATCAAAAATACCCCAGCATACAACCCAACTATATTACTTTAGCACCTTACCAATTATGGGTTATTTTAACCCAATGCATTGGTTTTTTTTTAATGGGTTATTTTGACTAAGTGTTATTTTTTCCATTCTGATATTATCATTGCTACTATAACTAGTACTACTTTTTTATATAATTATGGCTGTGTAAATAAATAACATACATAACATAAATAACAAATTGCTTAATTTCCATTACATTTTAATTTCCAGACACTTAAGCGTTTTTCTCCATACAAAGATCAGCTGTGAAGCGCGCATTTTTATCATCAATAATTAGGAGTTCTGGTGAAACAGATATAAAAAACACGACACAGAGAGATAATTTGATAAAATAAAATAAACATTATTGTGTTACAGCTTAAATAAACGTTATAATGCAATATCAACATTACACACGCATATTAATACAGCTGTTCGGTGTCAGTTAAATCAATTGACTGTTGAAATTTTAAAATGTTACCCCAACTGGTTGAGCTATTAAATAAATAACCCAATAAAGGTTAGAAATAACCCAAGAAAACACCAAATATTTATTCCAACTTGTTGAGTTATTAATAAATAACCCAATAAAGGTTAATAATAACCCAACAAAGCACCACATATTTTTAACTCAGCCATTGCATTAAATAAATAACTCAACATTTTTTAGAGTGTGGGTTATAGTAACCCAATGTTGGGTCAGGTATAAACAAACAAAAAGTTATTTTAAAAAAATACAATTAAATTACACAGTTTCACCCAAGAGTTGGGTTGGCTCATTTTTGACCCAATTTTAGGGTTTTAGCAACCAAGCATGTGTTATTCTGATTTAAATATTTGTATAATTTATGTTTAAAAAATTTGTATCCAATATACTATGATACACTATATTAGACTACATGACAAAAGTCTTGTCGCCTTTCCAAGTTTTAGGAACAACAAATAATAACTTGACTTCTAGTTGATCATTTGGTATCAATAGTGGCTGAAATGAAAGGCAAAGGCCTCTAGATTATGTTTATTTCCCTAAATAAAACATGGTCATGCCTTGATATTTAATTATTTAATTATTTATTTAGGACAGTAAGGTCTGACTTTGCATAGACTAAAGCCTTTTCACTTAACAGAAGTAATGTACAGTATAGTATATAAAGTCATGGTGCAGTGGAAAAATAATAATATTGTGTATGACTACCATGAGCTTGGAGGACTGCATCTTCAATGACTCCTCCTTCATCTCACCCCAAACATGCTTGATAATGTTCATGTCTGGTGACTGGGCTGGTCAATCCTGCTGCACCTTGACCTTCGTTGCTTTTAGGAACTTTGATTTGAAGGCTGAAGTATGAGAAGGAGAGCCATCCTGCTGAAGAATTTGCCCTCTCCTGTGATTTGTAATGTAATGGGCAGCACAAATGTCTTGATACCTCAGGCTGTTGATGTTGCCATCCACTCTGCAGATCTCTCGCACGCCCCCATACTGAATGTAATCCCAAACCATGATTTTTCCTTCACCAAACTTGACTGATTTCTAAGAAAATCTTGGGTCCATGAGGGTTCCAATGGGTCTTTTGCAGTATTTGTGATGATTGGGATGCAGTTCAACAGATTCATTTGAAATATCTACCCTCTGCCACTTTAGCACATGATCAAGTAAAAGTCAAGTTATTATTTGTTGCTCTTAAAACTGGGATCAACGACAGGACTTTTGTCAGGTAGTGTACGAATCATTTATTAAATTACAACTCTCCTTACAGTTGCTTTCAGTCAATGCATTCTTAAACTAACTGACTACTAATGAAAATTCTTATATTTTGGATCACTTTGCATTCCAGTGTATGTGTTAAAAGCACTGCAAACACAATAGTTTGAAAGTAAAGCGAGGTACTCACATTCTTGTTTGAAGGTGAAATATTCTGTCAAATGTCTACATTCATGATTTCCTCTCAGTAAAAATAGTGTCTTTGGGTAGAGGATTTTCAGCGACCACAGGTACAGAACACACTACAGAGAAGAAGAGAGGAAAAAACAGAGATCCTTGAGATACAGAAGAACACAATCCTTAAATAAGACAAGTGCAGCGTGTGTGTTCTGTTAAAGAGAACATATGAAAATCTGACTTTTTCTTTGTTTTAATATTATAATCGGGTCCCCGATGCATCTACCATCTCCGAAAACATGAATACGAACAGCCCAGTAACTTTGTTTTGGTTAGTCTTTTTTTCTGCAAGCATGTGAAAAAAATGAACTGTTCAGATTTTATTCCCCTAATGATGTAGGATGTATAACTTATGCAACACAGGCTCATTGTGAACACGTATCCCTGTCTAAATTTCTGGAAAGCGCAAACTATGTAGCAAGAGGTATGTCTGGCTGCATTTCATCTTTAAAATAAACAGTACAGGCCAGTATGATGCCGCTGACGGCTTCTGCTCCTTTTAGTGCTATCAGCTGACTGCTTACCTCCATGTGGACTGCTTTACCTATGTTACCAGTTTGCCTAGTAACTCGCCGCAAATGCTGATGGACTTTGGAAGCGGAGCTGAATTGACTGCGACAACAGGGTTTGAAACAAAACAAAAGCAATAAATAAATAAGTAAATAAACAACAGGCTGAAAACATGGTGAAATCACGCAGCTGCTACTGATTTTCATTTTCTAAATTGATTTTGAAAACACTACCAGTTGGGTTTAGAGAAGGGGTGGGTGGGTTAGTTTAATGCGAGAAGAGCATGTGTGAGAGAAATTTGAGAGAAATTTGAGAGAGAAATCATCAAAAAGCACACACATCGGCCTATGACAGATTTGCAAAAACAAAAACTGCAAGAAGACGCCCAGTTACGTATTTCACTGTCCACAGAAATGTAGACCTGTGTATGTATCCATATTGAGCCTGGGTTGAGCCTGGCTGTCTGGAATACTTGATTCTGATTGGTCAGTCACAATTTTCCAAGGTACGTTTTGTCAGATTAGTGGCTAATTCGTATGAGTTCAGTCGTACAAAATTGTATGATTTAAAAAAGGAGGTGTGTCTACCTGTTTTTTCGTTGATGTCTCTGCCTTACCCTTTAATAAACTTCAGCACATGGATTCTAACAAAGCCTTAGCCACTCCTTTAGAGCGTGGCACCTAACCCCACCCATAAACCCAAATGTCATCGGGGGATGTGCAAATAGTACAAAATTGTACAAATTAGATCAAACGAATTTGCCGCTAAATCAAAATTTATGAATTGCTGTGAGATTGTATTGGTTATTCCCAGAAAACAACCACTGAAACTAGCAACACAGGCTTATCCGAGTGTGTAGAATCATCCAGAGGTATATGCTTGACTGTCCTGCCACTGTTTTTACCATTTGGCATCATCTTGTGACTAAATAATACATAGGTTAGTGTATGCTCCATTCAATAATTTTCAATTCTGTCAGCTTTGTCTTTAATTAATAAATTAATAAACTGTTATGACTCAGAACAATGTTTTGTGTCTTTTTTAATGTTTTGTGGGAAGAAGCTGTGTAATTGCTATATAAGTGCTTGTGTAAGTTGTGTAAGTGCTATATATTACATCAGATAGTTGTTTTGACAAATAAAGCCCTTCATTTTTATACAACACCCCTCTGATTCGCATAATGCAGCTGACAAGCCTGTCTGCCTTTAATCCAATTTTTTATAGATTTTTA